CAAAGTAAGCACTCTGGCTTCCTGCTGAGTTACTTAGCCAAAGCTCTAGACTCCCCAAATTGACACAGTGTATCAGCCATAACATCTATGTTGATGTTTCCTGGACTTGTTTTGGGTGAGGTGTTTGGCAGAGATTGCATTTTGGTTATTGTTTGCACCATTTTCAAATCTCCTTAAGTTTCCAGGGATTCAGGTTCATTTTTGGGATGGCAGCAGGGGGTGAAGCCAGAGAACTTTGGCATCCAGACAGCTCACTTAAGCTTCCCCAGTCCAAGACCCCTCCTGTGGTGGCAGCAGGTACCAGACCAGAAGATCTGAGCCCCTAGGCAGCTCACTGAAGCTTCCTGAGTGCAAGGCCCCTCCCACAATGGTGATAGGGGCTGGGGCTTGCGAATTCAGTCCCCCAGGCAGGTCACTGAGGCTTCCCAAGTTCAAGGGCCCTCTGGAAGCTTGCCAATTCCATCTTTTCTTGAGCTCACTTTGTAGCTCGGGCTCACCTTAGATTCACAGTGACCCTCCTGCCTCAATTCCCCAAGTGCTGTGATTACAGGTATATGCCACCATGCCCAGCTGTCTCTGCGCAATTATTAATTTATAACAAAATACCTCAAAATTCATTGTCACAAAGCAAGCTTTATTTTGTTCGCAATGTGCAGTTTGGGCCATGGTCAGTGAGGCCAGTTCATCGTTCTCCATCCTTCTCCACTCAGCTGGGGCGACTTGAAGGTAGGGACTAGATTCATCTAAGAGGATGTCCATTCACACTCACAGCAGGCTTTACCTGGGCCCTCAGCAAAGCATTCAGTGGACCACCTCCATGAGGATGGACTTGTGGCTTGAGCTTCCTTGCTGTTTGGGAACCTGTTTCTTAGGGAAAGTCAGGTGAAAATGTGTCAGATTTTCCAACCTCACCTGAGAAGTCATACAGCAGTTCCACCATACCTGATTCACTAGAAACCAGTAACAGAGGTAAGCTTCATGTTCAGGGAAGGAACTTTCATTGGAGAAATGTCAAAAACTGTGTAGACATGTTTTTAAACTGCTACTCAAATGATTTTGTCTAAAGATGCTGGTTCTTCCCTCTCAATTCCAGTGACATCCCTCCACATTTTTGTTGTCATTATTTTTTAGTATGCTTTCTTACTTCATGGAAAGGATAAGTATATTACAAGACAGTAACATTGAATTAAGTCATTTTTGTTCCAAAAAATACACAGATCATGTGACTAAACTTTTATATGGGGGAATGTTACGGATCCTAACAAAGAATCATTACATCTCAGAATGTAATTCCAGTTAACATAAAACATTTGCAATTCAGGAAAAAGCTGATAACTAAAATCTGTACATACCAGAGTCATTAATTAAAGCCTTATTTTCGAAGTCTTACTCTGATAGCCTTTTCTTGTATTAAACCTAAATAACTCTGAATGATGTCCCTAAGTTTTTTTAGAAATTATGAAGTGGAGATGGGCAAAGGGTAAGAGAGTTGTACTACTAGGAGATGAGTCAGAGTCATTTTAAGGGCAGAAGTGAAACAATCCTAGAAAAATAAAAAGTCCAAGATCCAGTGCACATGTTTCATCACAAAGATAATGAACGTAAAGAATGTATTTTTGTGAGTCCTGCTGGTTTTAACTGTGTTGATTTTCTGAGTAATTCAAGGGCATATCTTCTAAGAATGTAGTGTGGATTATATTTTATTACAACTGAATTTATGTCTGAAATTTTTATTCATTTTGTGTCAGTCTATCCTCAGTCCACTTCCTTCCACAGATTACCAATCTGTGTCATTGTATTCATGCAAATTGGTGATCTAGTAGCAAACCTGGAAACTACATCTTCCAAATGTCTACATCTGGATAAAAATAATCAATTTGCCTACCAGGAGTTAATATCTATGAATAATATAGAAAAGAAATGTGAAACTCTAGAGGAGAATGAAAAGAAGTTGGAATAAGTGGTAACCCTCAAAAGTTACATAGAGAAAAATGTGGGAGAACATGGCCAACTGGAACAGTATAAGCAAGAGATTGATAAAAGCAGAAGATGAGAATTAGTGGAAGAATTAAATCAAGTCAATTTATCTTTACAGCTTAATTTATGTATCTTTAATGTGCTTAAATCATTTCATTGAAAATTATATTTTGGATATTTACATTGCATATATTTCTTCTCCTTCCCTTACAACTTTTGTTTTCAAAGTCCTTTCTAGAATGGAGATCAGAACTTGTGTCTTTCATTAAATATTTCTGTTTCATTATAACTAAGCTGATCTCTCAGAATAGTGATATTTATTTGAGAATCATTTGAGTTTTTAAGCCTAATGGACATAAAACTGTTAAAAGCCAAAAAACCTGTGGAATAGCAATTAGACAATACTCTTGAATTGTTTTTTACTTTGTTAGTTTTCTTTTGTATAAAGCTGCATCTTCTTTATTTTGCATACTTCAATTTTGGAATAAATTAAACAGAAAATAAGATCACAACACACAATATCCAAACCTGCTGTCCAGTTATGGAGGGGATGGGGCTCAAAGCCCTTGCTTCCTGCTTTGAACACAGGGCAGGAGAAATCATTAGGCTCAGCAGAGGGAGCAGGCGAGATAGGTTGTGTTTAGGTTTTAAATTTTTAAATTATTTGTATTCTTTGAATGATCAGATTACATAACTCATGGCTAAAGATAGAACTCAGTAGTGAGGTGCTTGCCTAGCAGTGGGTTGGGTCCCCAGCACCACCAAAAAAGAAATGGATTCAAAATTTTTATACTTTAGACTTCATGCAGTTGATGTTGATGATAAATGGCAGCATCTTTTTCACACATATAAATTTCTTGTCTGAATCATTGGCTCAAAACTAAAGGAAATAAATACAGGTAACTATGAGTTATGATGAAACAATACAATGAATGTTTTACATTTTTAAAAAATGTTATCACAATAAAAAAGACACACTGCTAGAGACCATACTCTTAAGTGAAATAAATCAAACATACATGTGCAAGCACCGCATTGTTTCACTAGTGTAAAACATGAAAGAGTTAATTTAAACTAGGAGGTATGATAGACATTGTGAATTGATAGGAAAGCACTCAAAGGTAAAGGGTAACTGGGATGTGGGAAAAGAAAAGGGAAAGAAGGAGAAATTTGTATGTATGTATATGCAGGATAGTTAACATGGCTGTTCTATTGTCTTGTATTTCTTTGCTGAAAGAAACTGTCAATGAGTCCTTGGTTGGTCAGCATTGCATGTTTATATCTGTTTTCATGAGAAACCACTCTGAAGATATCAATATGTAATACAACAAGCATTGTTAATTCCCTACAACTTTCTTTGTAACTCCGTACCGTCTGTACTGTTCCTTTGCTATTTTGTAAAATGTTGTCTGTCTGTTAATGTTTTCCTCCTTTTATTTAAAAAAAAAAGACACACTGGTGTTAGTCCTCCTCCAAATAACTCTCCCTCACTTGGAACATACTTGTCTCACCATTCTAGCCTTTTGCTCAAGCTCTTCTGTTGGTGCTTCTTCATGAGTAACCTTAGTTGTGCTGTCACAGTTGTCTTGACATTCTGAATTGATTTGAAATGTTTACATGTCATAGTCATTTTGACTCTGGGAAAGAGCCAGAAGTCACCTGGTACCAGATATGGTGGATAAGGCAGATGAGGACACACTAAAATGGTTTTTGGAGCCTGCCTTTCCATTGGATGGCACTCGGAAGCATTTACTGTTTTTAATCACACCTTGTAAAGACACTCATGAAAGAGGACTTCCAGAAGTACTTCAGAAAATGGCATGAATAATGGGATAAGTGTGTTCGAAAGTAGGGGAAGTGTTCTGAAGGGAATCAATGGCAGTATGTTTTTAGTGTAAAGAATTTTTGAATTTAAATATTCACTACATATTTTGATTGCCTTTTGTATTTGGGTCATAATTATTTTTAAAATATATCCTTTAATATGCTTTAGACACAAGCAACATCTCCAGAACATGTAGAGCAGGTAATAGCGAATCACGATGCTTCAATCAGAAATCAGATGGAACTGAGAATTAAAGACCTGGAATTGGAGCTTTCTAACATGAAAACCCAAAAAGACTTCAATGAAAGAGAACTGCAGAAATATAAGCAACTCCATATGGAGGAACGTGAAGTTAGAGCATCCTTGTGCAGCGAGCTAAACCAGTAAGTCAAAAACGGAATCCTAGAACATTAGCTAAACTTTTAAATTTTCTCTAAAGTAGAAGTTTTAGAGTCAGGTTCATGAAATTAGTAGAATATGCATGCTAAGTAGACATTTTGGAAAATACAGTTATTAAATGAAGTTATCTTTGAAATGTTAGTCCAGGGCAGTTTATATTTCTTGCCCCTTTTTTTGGACTTTAGTTTTTTGAGACAAGGTCTTACTTTGTAGTGCAGGCTCCCGTCGTACTCACTGTATAGCTTAGGTTGGTCTTGAACTCACAGCAGTCCTTCTGCTTCAGCCTCCCAAGTGCTGGAATTACAGGTGTGTGCCACCATGCCTAGCTTGGTTTTAGTATTGTATGTAGATAACTTATTTGGTCCTTCCAATATTTTTGAAGCTTTGTGGTTAAGAAAGTCATATTGTTCTAACATTACATGTTGCCATTTATTTAAATAGAATTATTAACCTTATTTTTGGAAGATTACATCATATACCCAAAAGGTCAAGGACTGGCAATACTGGACACATTCTACCCCTTGGTAAACTAGCTTTCCTTGACTGTGATCTTTCATGTTATCGCTGGAAACCAAGTGTCCTGTGTATTTGTTCTATTCTACATAAAGTCATACTTGTGATAGAGGGAAAGATGAACAGGGATGAGCAGGGTGTTGACTTTGTATCCAGTTATACTGCTCAATCCGTTGATTAATTCAACGAGTCTTCTTGTGGAGTTTTTGGGGTCTTCCATATAAAGTATCATGTCATCTGCAAATAGTGAAAGTTTTACTTCTTCCTTTCCTATCCTTATTCCTTTTATTTCTCTCTCCTGTCTAATTGCTCTGGCTAGTGGTTCCAGAACTATGCTGAACAGGAGTGTGACAGTGGACATCCTTGTCTTGTTCCCAATTTTAAAGTAAAACCTTTCAGTTTTTGTCCATTGAGAATGATGTTAGTTGTTGGATTGTCATAGATGGCTTTGATCAGGTTAAGGTAGAGGCCATCTATTCCTATTTTCTGTAGAGTTTTTATCATAAATGCATGTTGGACCTTGTCGAAAGGTTTTTCTGCATCTATTGAGATGATCATGTGGTTTTGGTCTTTGGCTCCATTGATTTGGCGTATAGCATTTATAGATTTGCAAAAATTGAACCAACCTTGCATTCCTGGAATGAATCTAAACGGTGCTGGAAAAATTGGCTTGCTACCTGCAAAAGACCTGAAATAGATCCAAGCCTATCACCATGTACCAAACTCAAGTCAAAATGGTTCACAGATCTCAATATTAAACCAGAAACACTAGATCTATTGGAAGAGAAAGTAGGTAAAAACCTTGAAGACATAGGGTAGGCAGAGAGTTCATGAACAAAAACCAAATCGCAC